ATGAATTAATGTATGTCAAAATTGCACATTAGTCACACAGAAATAAATTACCGTTAGGTTTCACAAAAGAAATAGGACACACTTACTTCAATCGCGTCTGTTTCTGTTTATTTGGTAGTAACAGGACATATATCACATTTAAAAAGAATGATAATTTCTACAAATATATGCCACCAATAATACGACCTGAGGAGCTTTAGCACTCTCTCGACTCCCAGTAGGCTAACGTTACAGATATTTTCAGTCAGAGAAACAGAGGAAGCTCCCGGGAAAAAAAATGTGCTTTATTTTATGATAGTCCGGTATAAAGAGACGAGACGTAGGCTATCTGACAGATAAAATAAAAACATTATTGTGATAACCTTTATGATTGGTCTGATTTCTTCAAACGTTCACTATGTTTTTTTTACTATGCGTATCTTCAAGCGTTTATTTTGTTTACTATGGTAACGTTAATGGTTAGCGTGCAATATAGTCTTTTACTCGCGTATAAATATTTCTACCTTATATGGTGATCAGAATCCACATCGGATCACAAACAAAAGGCATTCAAACGTGAGTTACATTATTTTAAAAGTAGCCTATTTACTGCTGACAGAATCACCCGGCGCTGTCGTCTAGTAGAGGTGGACGACGAGGAAGAGGAGGAGAGCGAGAGTCAATACCACGACGACAAAGATGCCCGCGGCAGCTACAAGAGACGATCTTGATAGAATTGAAAGTTTCCAAGGCAGAGAAGAGAAGCAATGCAGCCTTTTAAACTTGCCGGGGCAGTGACCAGCGCCTCTCAGCTCTGCTCCTCCGGTTCTGCTGCTTTCAGTTACATGACGCTGGCTCTGAACGAAAACGCGTTGTGGAAACGCGTTTGGTTGGTACTTTTTGACCCTCTCTGCTATTATAGTTTTTCAAGATGGCGGAACGACATGGAAGCCTCCGTGAACCTACCCGTCCCATGTACATAAAGATAATAAATTCTTAATTTACGAGGATAAGTCAGATAATTTGCAGAGGTATTTGTACACCATTGAGGACATATTTAAGAATAAAAATATTGATTTCAGATAATAAAATACCTAAAAACCTACACAGTGTCCCTTTAAGAAAATGCAGAAAGAGCTATTCTGTACTGTAAAGTCAATGTGGCATGCAATGAAAGGGGATTAATTCAAACTATAGTCTCACATAGTCAGAGGATCTATAGTCTCAAAACAGTGTAATTTGAATTACCTGATCTGTCGACATGATGCCGGTGAGTTGAAGAGCTCGTGCAAATTCTGAACTGCTGTTGCACACCCCCGTCATTTTTTATGTTTTATTGAGAAAGCAAACGGCATGTATTCATATTCATCTAAAGCTAGCTCTCAGCAGTATCAGGTTGTTCGTTAATAGTATATCGCTGCAAATGCATTCCCAACTTCTTTTTACTTCTAAGCGAAGAACGAAAAAAAAAACGTTGCTGTGACTCATATCCGAGCATTGAATCACTTATAGTCTCTTGTGCGTGTGCGTCACCTGTGCACGAGTATGCGCACCAGATGCAAGTGCTGCTGCAATTCACTTAACGGCCACCGATAGCGCTAATAACAAGGGCTGTAATATCGATTTCTCGAAATTAATCGATTCTCATTTTTACGAACCGATATCGATTCTTAAATCTCAAGAATCGATTAGTCATTCATTTGATGAATGAATGGAACATTGTAGCGAGCATCCCATCCAATAAATCGCAATAATCTTTGTGCTTTGTTACTATTGATACTAAATAAAGTCTCAAATTTCAAATTACGTCCATTTTCTTACGAAATTCAAAAACATAAATAGCGTTTTGGCGCTGTGGCGTGAGATCGCTCTGGCTCAGCTCAGCTCAAGAGAAGCACATGATCTCCTTTTCTGCCTTAATAATACTAGTTACAGCGCCGAATAAACATGAATGAACGTCTGAAAGTGTGTTAAAAGAGAGTACAACTTATCGAAATCCGTATCATGTCACATGGAATCACTCAATCAGGGTTTCAACCGTGGAAAGACGTCAGTAAAACAACTTGTAAACAATGTCATGTAACGTCACATTTACCTCAGAAAAACCATATGTGACCATAAGCTCGTTAGTCGGCTAGAAAAATTAACTCTAAAGAGGAGCATTTTGCTAAATATATGCACCATATTACATATTCATTATAATTTTTAATGTTCTTCGATATTTAATGCATGTTTGAATAAATCTGGCAAGTTTTTATGACAGCCACCATTTAAATGTTTATATTTCATACAACTTTATTATTATAAAAATAAATAAAAGTGTAATTTAAGTGTTTGTATAGCTACAAATCAGTTAATTTTTACCTTCAATATTACAGTAGGCTAATGAAGCCTAGTAGGCTACAACTGACTCCCATAGTTTACAGCATTAGTTAAGAGATTTGTTTTCCTTGAGAAAATTTGCCATGTATTGTAGCTGATATCCAAAATAATCAATATTGAATCGAATCGGAATCGAATCGAGCAAGCTTGTGAATCGAAATCGAATCGAATTGTGAAATTTGTGTCAATACCCAGCCCTAGTTTCTAAAGTATACATATAGCCACTTTAAGCACAACTCACTTAATTTAGATTTTTTTCTCTTTCAGAAAACAAGACTTAAGTAATTTTGCTTCTCAGATAAATGTGTGTAATGTAAGAATTTTTAGATATTTTTAATGGAAAACAAGACAAAAATGCTAAGCGAAGAAACATATTTTCGGATGAGACGTTAAACCGAGGTCCTGACTCTCTGTGGTCATTAAAAATCCTGACGGGTGTCTTTCGAAAGAGTAGGGGTGTAACCCTGGCATCCTGGCCAAATTTGCCCGGTGGCCTCTGTCCATCATGGCCTCCTAATCATCCCCATATATATATACACTGATTGGCTTCATCACTCTGTCTCCTCTCCACCAGTAAGCTGGTGTGTGGTGAGCGTTCTGGCGCACTATGGCTGCCGTCGCATCATCCAGGTGGATGCTGCACACTGGTGGTGGTTGAGGAGATTCCCCTTCCATGTGAAGCGCTTTGAGTGCCTAGAAAAGCACTATATAAATGTAATGAATTATTATTATTATTATTATATTTTGCAGTGTATGCAAATTGTTGGAAAATTCTCTCATTGGTGTATTTAGTTCTGTGAGTTTTCATCTCAGAAGTCAATCATATTTAAGATGATTTGTTTTGGATTTTAATTCAGTTGACTATCTGGACTTTCAGCAGTCTGATCAAATATTGTGTCCAAGAAAACAAAACAAAAAACAGATCCCAGGTAAATAAATCACATTTGAAAAGCAAGAGGAAGTGCGTTACATTGTGGGTTACAGTATATTAGTGCACATATATCAAGTTCTCGCTCAGGTGATCATGTGTTTTTGGTCTCTGGACTCAATCATGATAAAATACCCTAAAAATAAACTCAGAAACTCCACAGGAGCGCGAGTGAATTACTCTGGGAATCTTGGTGGTCACAGAAGTAATAATCTGGAGGGAATCTACCCTCACTTCAAATAATCTAAAGCTTTCCTGTGAGACACCACTGATCCCAGAGCAGTTTCGATGTCCTGATTCAGAACACTGAGAAGGTTTGCAGTGCTGTAATTGTTAACTAAAACTATTAATTGAAATTTTAGATGAAAAACTTAAACTTTAAAAAATTAAGGAAAGAAAATTAGCAAAACTACTAATTTTTCTACTTTAAAATTGTATGTTTAATTCAATTTGTTACTTGCTATTTCTTAATTATTTTTAAATTTACTAGCAATTTCTGATTGAAACACCAATTTTTTTTGTGTGTAGGGTTTACTTTAGTGTAGGGTTTACTTTAGTTTAGGATATACCTGCACAGTTTCGGCACAGTGCCACCTAGTGGTCACGATATATTTTTGCTTGAAGAGTTTGACCAAAAATCACAAGACTGGTCTCTTTAGATTCGGTGCAGCATGCTGAGTCGAATGATATCCAATTTTCCCATATTGGACATTTTTTATTTTATCGCAAAACGTTGTGTTTTACGAATACATTGGCGTATTGTTACGAAACCCGGTATGTGTTATCAGCACCATGCACTAGACTAGAGGTACTCCAAAAGTTTCCGGGCAGTGCCACCTTGTGGTAAAAAATAATGATAAAAAAAAAAAAGGCTAATAGCTTTTGATAATTTTTGCCTATTGTAATGAAACTGTTATTTATAGATTCCTACCAATTTTCCCATAGTCAGCCAAACTTCCTCTCCGCCTTTTTATTTTCTTAAAAACCTACTTTTTCGAACTCCTCTTAGACTGTTTGTCTGAATTTCTCCAAATTCAAGCCAGATCATCTTCAGACCATGCCAGCAAAAAGTTATGGATCTCGTGAAAATTTTCGTAACCCGAAACACACATCAACGAATTTGATGATATACTGCCAAAATGCATCTGAAGGCTGTATCTCTAGAAATATTTTAAATGTTGACACCAAACTTTATGCATGTCATTGTCACCCAACACTGACCAGACCAAATCAATTTGGTGTCAGTGCCACCTATTGGTCAAAAGTTACAAGCAATTATGTCACATCACAGACAGATCCGGCCCACATCTGGTACGTGTAGAGTAGATTACATGTGTACCAGATGTGGGTCGGATCTGGGCCAACACTACGTTGTTGTCTGGGATTACAAGTGATTGTATTTATGGGCTTTCAACTTAAAACTGTCTTTAACTGTCTTTACTCATTGTTGCAGTTGGTCTGATGCTCGCTGGCTTGATTTTTAGCTCCTCGTTCTGCCTCTGGCCCCTTATTTGCTGCATGCAGCTATATTATTTTTATGTAATTGTAATCTAATTGTAGGTGGTGCAATAAACCTCTGGGCTGATCCTCATTTCAAAGTATAAATATTCCCCAAATGCATAAATATAAAACATCATATACGTGTGATTGATTCTAACGTGTTTATTATCTTTCTCTTGTGTCTCCTTTCCAACAAACGAAACCCCCGAAGCGTGCAAAAGAAAAGAGCAGGACCCGAGCAAAGACAGGAGCAATACACCAAAGAAATCGCGGCTGGTTTTCACAGACCTGCAGCGAAGAACACTTCTGGCCATCTTTAAAGAGAACAAGCGCCCGTCCAAAGAAATGCAGCTGACCATCTCGCAGCAGCTGGGACTGGAACTGAACACTGTAAGCAACTTCTTCATGAACGCCCGCAGACGCAGCCTGGACAAATGGCTGGACGAGGGAAGTCCGGGCAACACGTCGTCCACCTCCAGCACTTGTACCAAAGCGTGATCCCGGGGGAGGGGGGGTGGTGGGATGGGATGGGATGGGAACGTGGGATCGGGATGAGGGTCCCGTGCACCGGGGAGGGTGCAAACTTTTTAAGAGGAGAAAATCGTTCCGAAGGGCAACGAGAGAAACTGCTTACCGGCTCAATGCTTTCGGTCAGGAAATATAATATTGCTTTCTCTTCTCCGGTTCGAAGCAAGAATCATTCATCGGGAATGAAAAATTAAAGCAAATCAAAAACATTGTTAACTTTCCATTTGGCTTTGAACTGAAGAGAAGACAAAGGGTTTGCGTTTCACATCTGCATTCACTCCTTAAATTAGGTTTGATTTTCATTTGCTGAAGAGTGTGTGTGTGTGTGTGTGTGTGTGTGTGTGTGTGTGTGTGTGTGTGTGTGTGTGTGTGTGTGTTGTGTGTGAGTCGAGATGTTTTACACTAGAAGGGTAAATCTCATAAACACACGTCCAGGTCACATTTTATGCAATTCAATGCAATTTTTTTGTCTTATTTTCCAGTACACATTTTTTAAACATTATTAAATTAAGACAAAATATCTGCCAATGGGGGTCAGAAAAATAAAATTCAAAGAGACAATTATTTCAAATATAATTATAATTAAATATATTATTATTATTATTATATTATATATAATGATAAAATATACAAATATATTATATTAATATATACATATTATTTCTTATTTTCTTAATATCATATAATAATGTTTAGATTTTAGTACTGGAAATAAGACAAAGATATTGAGTAAGAAAATATTTTTTTGCAGCATCAATGATGCAGTGCATACAGACTTTTAAAATTATAATAATAATTATTATTAATTTCCATTAGTTTAAAAAGTATTAGATTCGTATTACTGTAATAGTTATTTTTTTATTGTAGTATTGAGAATGGGATTTTTTTTATTTCTGCATTATGGCAATGGGAATTAATTTTCATAACACAAAATATTCATGCATTTTGGAGAGAAATATGGCAGGTTTTTGTGAGATTCATCCATGATAGCAGCACAGTTTTAAGTTAGCATTGGGTTGCAGGTTTTTCTAACACACTGAAAACACCCGTCAGAAGCACAAAGCACAACAAACACGAACAAACATCTCTCACACCGTTATTGGCCGGCCGGGTTTGTGAGCACAATCCTGAAGCACATTAAATTTGCAATAGAACAGGGGCTGGACCACACCGATTGTTCTTCTTTGGTTTAAAAATAACTCAGGATGATACCGCCGAAGAATGAGCTTCTGTCTCTCAAACACTCTTGATGAAATGACATTGCAAACACACACACACACACACATGCATCAGCATCACGTTGTCACGACTGTAACTGTATTATGCTAAGAAACCAAACTGGCATTGGTGATCAGGGCCTTTACAAGAGTTTAAGAGGACAATCTCCACACCAACGCCTACCAGTTTAGCTTTCCAAAGGGTCTTTCTCTCTTAGTTTTAGCTACTTTCCAATACAAAACCACTTTACTGAGCTCTTTCATATACTCATCTCAAGTTCCATCACTCGTGCTCATTTATTATTGAACCGAGAGCCGGTAAGCAGTTCTCTCCCGGGTTACGCTTGAGGGCCTCTTCGGATCGCTCAAAACGGACACTAAAGACTTTTTCTATTTATTGACAAATCGACACCAAAGAAACTTTTTCTGCACCTAACTGTTCTGCAAACAAAGGACAACAAAGAGGAAAAAAAAACAACCAAAAAAAAAAACTGCAACGAACAAACAAAGACGACAAAGCGGGGAACGCCGAGCCGGCGTCTTTTGTTGTGTTCGGATCGGTGGAGACATTGGAAAAAAGGAAGCAGAATGGGATCGGGAAGGTTTTAAAGTGACGGAGCTTTTTCCCACGGCATCGGCGGCTCCCGAATGATGCGTCTCTCAAACGAAGTTGAAGATTGTCTTTAATGTGTGCCTATGCAGTTTTTTCAACCCAAATGGAAAGAACAACAAGAACCTCATCAGCTACAATACCAAAGATTCAGAGTTACTCCCACCGCAATTCCATTCCCACAATGCATCGGTGCGATGTTGACTCTTTCCAAACATGGGACGTTTCGGGGTTCGGCTCTGCTTTGGGTTTTCCCCCCGTAGTCGCATCCGTCTCACAGCTTAAACTAAAGGTGTAACTCAAGCCTGATGGGCATACCAAAGATAAACACCTTTAAGCACATGCAATCCCAAGTAGTTTTGTTTTCATATCCCAATGGATCAGTATACCAAAGAGTTGCACTCTTCCAGCCATCGTTGAACACATATGCACGTCGTTTCCGAGCGCCGAATCCCACGTTTCCCATGTTTGAGAGAGAGAGAGAGAGCCGTTAGCGTTATTGCAAGGCACCAATGCAGCTGGTACAGAATACATTATATTCCAACTGAAAAGCCAATAATCTGCCAAAAACGCTCACTTAATTCTGTAGAGGAAACTGCAGACTGTAGGTCGAATAGCTTTATCCTTTAGGTTTCTCTCTTTAAAAGCTTCTAGTCCAAAGATTCTCCAGGAGAATTCATCTGCTCTTCACGACAGTCAGGTCTTTAGATACATGGGCCAAAGAGCTTTTCTTTGCTTGTCTTAGTACTTAAATTTCGCCAATGCCTCAGTACAATGTCTTACCCAGGTTTTGCAATATGTGATTTATTTATGTAATTTATATTTGCTATGATTGAACTTAATTTAAGTTGCCAAAATCCCTCCCCCTTTTTCCTGATTAGCTTGCCAAAGTTTACATTTACTTCTTTTGCATGTTGGACACCATCAGACTTATTTATTTATGACTAAATGTGCTAGAAGGTTGTTGTTGTTATTATTTGTTTCTTGATTATTTAATGTTATTTAATTAGACGTAATTGTTTGGATGACTATTAGTGCATCAAAGATGCTCTGTTAATTTATTAGTTAGCTTTACTTTAAAAAGCAAGACAAAGGGTGTATTTAATTTTTCTTAGAAAGAATAATTCTGGAAACGTGTTAGCGATCAGGTTTTAGTTGCAACTCACATGTTTGTATGCTTGTATGTATGTCAAGATTTTACGTAAATCGTTTAGTTGATTTTCTTTCGAATGAAAACAATCTGTCTTTGCGATCGATATTACGCGTTTTGTCGAAGGACAAGCACCCAATTTCAAGCCTGATGTTTTCGAGATCGTATACGGGGCCACACGTTAACGGAGATCAACGCAGGACTCACCAAAGATAAAACCCACGGACGCTGAGAGGCCGTTTATTCATTGCTTCACTCGTAGAAGGACATAGAGGAATCCCTTAAAAACTAGAAAAAGCTGCTTCCAAGACTGACTTGTGTGTGTGTATAAAAGTCTTTCTATCTCTATAGTGAGAACCACAGAGGCTACCTCACTGAATTTTCCATTTGTAATTTTAATCGTGTTGATGAAACCAAAGATACCAAAGATTTCTTTTTTCTCGAGGACGGTCTGCGCTTGACGCCATGCTTGGGATATTTTGATAACTTGTTTCACTCTTTTCTCTCTTCTTCCTCTTTATTCAGACGTGAGTTCCTCCTCTCCTCGGAAAAATAAGTGCAATGGAGTGGATGGGACTCGACCTCGAGATGTAGTTTTTTAGCGCTGTGCGGTTCTGATCGCCCGTATAAGACCTTGATGCAAAAACCTACCCACTGAGAAAGATCTGTCTGGCACAGAAACATTAACAATCAGACGCAAACCACATGGGACGTAATATTGAAACTGATGGAAATGTTCAGATATTCAAAGTTTTGATGGGTTAAGTCAAAGCATCTCTCAGTGCAGTATTTTCAATCATATGATTCATTGCATTTATTTCCAAAAACACTGAAAAATAAAATTTCAAACAATTTTCACTCAGAAATGGATAGAAAAATGTTACAAATAAATGACAATACATTGAAGTTATGCAATATTTTATTGCAAAACATACTCCAATAATCTTTTATTTACAACTTTGAAGAAGAAGAAGAAGAAAAAAACATTTTTACAGTGTACCTGCTTGGAAAAGTGCAATAAAATTCCATTTCAGACTTAGAAACTTTCTTTATCAGTATCTTTGTCTTGTTTTCCAATACAAATATCAAATTCATAAATCAACATAGGCAAAATTACAAGATATTAAGTCTTGCTTTATGAAAAATGTATCAAAACTAAGCGAGTTTGCTTAAAACAAGAAATATCTGCCAATGGAGTCGGAAAAATAATCAAGTTTTCCCTTTGAATTAAGTTTATCTTTCTGACGCAGTAAATGTATCTTGATTTAAGAATGTTTAGCTATTTGTACTACAAAACAAGACAAAAACACAGGAAGAAAATAATTTATCATATAAGCAAGTAAAATAGGCCTACATCAATAAGTCAAAGTTCTTATACCACATGTCGATGAAACTAGTTTGGCAAACCTTATTAAGTTGAAATCATCCCACATCTGACTATTTTAGTTTCAAGACATTTAAAATAAACTTTCTTAAATATCTAAATCCATTCTGTTAAAAACACGTTGGTGTTTCTGTGCACGAAAAACTCTAAAACCAAAGACTAAATCAAATCATTTCATATTTTGGACGGTTTTTAGGGAAACACGGCTGTCGTCGGCAGCTAAAGACACAGATGGGATCGTATTGATCCGTTCAGCTGTAGGTCGTACATCATTCCGTCCTGTTGGAATAAGTAACACGTTTTCTTGTGGAAAAAAAGAAAACAGAATCTGTTAACAGGGACACGAGCGTGTCACGTATTGATCGTCATTAGCCATTAGGTCAATATATTATCAGTAATTCTGTAGCCTATTTATGATGTGGAAAAAAATCTGATCCTTCCCTCAGTGTTTTGTCTTGTTTTCCAGTACGAATATATAAACATTTGTAGGGAGTGAGATGTAAGGTTATAAATAATATTCTACGCCTTTAAATGGGATTTGGTGGATAATATCGCGAGAACAAATTTTTAACTAGGAAACTTGTATTTTACCAGAATTCCGATAGCATGTGAAGGCAGCATAAAATCAAGATACATTTACTTGTAAGCAAAATGACTTTTAGCGAGGTAATTAAGCGAGGTAATACGGAGCCCCTAAAGGGACATGGTGATGAAAAAAAAAAGAGATGGTAGGAGAGATTATATTTCAATGATTTTGTGTTCC